TTTGCCAAGGAGAGCAACAGAGAGAGAAATGGGAGACGTAGATCGGTATATATAGCTAAGCAGCATTTAATGTGACTTAAACGAACCACCTGGTTATAGCTTAGTAATAAAAAAAAAGTGTAAAAAAACTGGCCCCCTTTACCAACCAAGCTTTTATAAATTACAGGCAACGCCCTATTACACACCTTTATAAGAGCGTTTCATACCAATTTTGACCTCAATTTTCCTCTTTTGGGTATAAAAAAGATTTACCATTCTACTACATATGTAGGCTACCAAAAATTCATTATATATATAAATATATAAACGAAATATTTTTTACGGCTATAAAATAGATAAATTGATTTTGATATGGAGGAGGATATTTTCCCCTTCTGAATTATACAGTATACACTCAGATTTTCTTTGACCTCGAAAAAGAGTCACTTGTCAAAGAGATCAACAGTATTATGACAATACTTCATGAATCTAGCTGAATGAATGTGGATGATATCACTTTTGACTTTGCTTGACTAACAGTAGGCGTATAACCAGGGTCTTAGCTAGATCTGTAGATAAGTTTATGAAATCAATTATATAGAATATAAAAAATTAGTGTTTTTTTTTTTTTGTTCATTTGTAGGTATATTCAGAACGGTTGACAGCAAACTAATTTTATTACATATACATATATATGTCAATTATTATACAAAAGAACGGGATTATCTTTTGTCACGTCAAATCATGTTAATATTTCGTTATCTAATCAATGGACTTCATCTTGCATAAATGATTAACAGGTAACATTTTCACTTCGTCGTTTATCTTACAGACGAGCACATCACCCTCCTGTTTGGACAATACTTTGCCAACAGATTCTCTTTCTTCTCCGTAAATGACCTTGAATTCATCGCCGCTATTGGGCGGTACAGGTGCCAAGTGCTCGCTAACAATGGACACGCTACGATCTTCTTGACGAAGAAATACAGAGCAGACTCCATTCGATACTGTGCGAATAATTCCAGTTTGGCCAACGAGATCGGTGTCATCGTGCGTATGAATCCGTACCTCAATATCAGTTGTGCACCAGTCGCCCATCGTCGAGTCAAGGCTAGCTCCAGGCGTTTGTGGATTGTAAGGAGATTGTGGCACACCACCGGGAGTGTTCGGTGAATATGTCGATGGCGATGGCGTATTCATATAACCAACTGGATATGGCGACGGTGCTGGACTGGGACTCGGATTAAACGGACTATAACTTCTATCCGAGCCATAAAGAGTTCCAGGCGTTTGTGGAGCGAATTGTGAGGACATTTGATATCCCGGAGTGCCTAAGAGTATAAGTGATTAGTATTTATAGTACACAAATATATTCTTAGTATAGTACTTGGATTATAGCCTGGGCTTGGACTTGGCTCCTCCAACGAATAATCAAAGTCTGTGTTACGAGCTGGTGTCGTATTTGCTGTAGGATCCCATGCGCCATGACGTGGTGTCATGCTGCCATCATGAGACGGCGTCATCGTACCGTAAGGTGTACGAGTATCTGTATCCCAATTGGGTGTCTGACTGCCAACCAAGGGAGTCTTAGAGCCAGCAGCAGTGTAGCTGGGCGTTTGTGCTCCGTAGCCGGGTGTACGGGCCGGTGTGCGACCATAGGTGGATACGCTGCCTTCTTTGCCAGGCTCTCCAACAATAACAATGTGATTGCGATCCACTGAAATTGTCTGGCATGACGTGTGCAACTCGACACGAGCTGTGCTTTCAGTTGCATCTTTAACAATGCCAACCGCACCTGAATTAACAAACAATATAAAATATATATTATACGAATAACATCATTTTACGTAACCATCGATAAGCATACCTTTGTAGGGTCCACCACAAATTTTGATAGTTTTTCCCAGAAGCTCTCGATCGCGCGTCACTCGGAATCCGCCTCGTCCACCGCGTGAACCACCACGCGCACCACGGCCACCAGACGGATGCATTGGAGATTGGATTCGTGGCGACATGAATCCCAATCCTCCAAGCGTATTAGGATTGCTGACATTAGACTTGCTCCCACCAGCGAGTTGCAGGTGACGCGTCTTACAAACAAAAATACCTCCGTTTTCGGTGTACATGCGACAATGGAGAAAAGCCAAACTACGATATAAATGCTTTATTTCTCCGGAGCGACCCTATTTAAATATAAATGTCAATTAATCAATAAGTCAAATTGATAAAAAGATGGCTTATATTTGCTTACGGCATGAGGGCCCTCCATAACCTTGACAATATCGCGACGGCGTATCTGATTTTGATCAGCATCCAGGGCGACAGTATTCTGATTTTCACGGCGTTTGTGCAAAGCCGTTGGCTTGCATTCAATGCACTTTCCATTCATGCCCAAGACATGGAAATTCTCTCGCTCTAGGCGCACTATAACACCAACATTTTGTGAGCTGAGGAATTAATTATACTTGGTTAAATAAAAAACTTATTAAACAAAACCAACTCACTCAAGCTGCACTAGATCGCCCCATTGAAACTGGCCAAGACAATCAACTCCGGTTGCTACATCTGAGCAGAGCTGCAAGTCACGTGGCAGAACCTCAAGTTCATGGTTTGTTAAATCCGAGACAAGCACAACTCGCGAAGGCTCAACGCGTATAATGAGACCAGTTTCGCCTTCATAGCGGCCAGCCAACACCCTCGCATGATCACCCGTTTTGAAGTATTTGCGTAACTCGCTTGCTTTAAAAATAAGTGGATCCTACAGAAAAAAATATTTATTGAAGTTGAAAGAAAACTAAAGTTAATTAGCCATATACACTACCTTTAAATCTTGATGTTTCGGCATCACCGTAATCATTGTGCCATCAATAGCAACAATCTTTGCCTGCAAGTTTTCCAAATCACCAACGCAAACCTCAACATTATCACCCATTGAGAAGGAATGAGCAGCAGTTGGATCATCTTTAACGCTTGCCATAATTTCCAAGTTAACTTCTATAAAGTGTAAATTATACAAGTTTATATATGTAATTGTTTATATGTAATAGTTTGATATTCACTTACCCTCTGGCGCTTCTTCAAACCGCTCCAGTTCGGCCAGTGTGGGCTTTACGCCCTCAGACAGAATTGCCGACATAGTAAAGTTTTTATAAAGAAAACCCTTGCGCGAATAACGATTGCCTTCAAAAAGCAGAAAATCACCATCCGAATGAACTTCGCCGCCAATAGCCCTGACAGCCTCCGGATCAAAGGGTTTTGCTGGTGGTCTACGTTTTTTCTTGCGCTTGCCATCGTCACTTTCCTGTAGAAAATAAATAATTAAATAATAAACAACAATATAAATTCAATTAAAAAATTTACCGTTGCTGTCGTTCTTAATGCACCGCGCAATCTGGTATAGTCGATACGAGGGAGAAGCTTTAGATGCACTTGATTTTGAGCCAGATCAACATAATCCACTTGGGCAATGTCATCCTTGTATAAGCCACGCTTCAAGCGCACCCACTGCTTCACTTTAAGTCCCACTTGCTCTTTAACTACTTTAAGGACATCTGTCATCTCCTTAATTGGCACCATTTCCTGTTTCCATTTGCCCATGCGAAGATTGCCCACATTGTCGATGGCTGTTTTCACATGAGTTTGCTTATAGGCTTCCAAATAAATATATCCCTTAACACCCTCCGGTGCTATAATCGATTTGATTTGCAATGGATCATCCGTATTCAAATAAGTTAAGAACTTTCTCATTAAGAGCAATGCCGTCGCTTTTTCTTCTCCAATGCGACATTTTACCATCCACAAATTAGGATCTCTGGAGAAAAATTGATTTTAGTATCAAACAACATAAATAAGATATAATTATAAATTATTAACTTACTTGATACCGGGCAAAAGAGTTTGTTGAGTGATCTCATCAGACATTTCCTCGCCTCCATCGCCAAAATGTCGTTTAACCATTGATTCATCGGCATATTTCTTTCTTAGATATTCCTCAATTTCATCCTCTTTTTGTGTACTATTGAAATTTGCATTAAAATATGTGCATAATTGAGTTGTCTAAGAGAAACTTACTCCCACAAATTGGTGCCTCTCCGCCTGATTTCAATATCTCTGGCCGTGGGACCCAATTCATCAATTTCATTGCCAACAATGCCAATTTCATTGGCACCTTCCTCCCATTCATCGTCTTCGTCAACCTAAGTATTATAAATTGATATTAATAATTATCAACGAATTCAGTCAGTGTTTTATTATTAATACTTCACCTCGTCATCTACTTCAGCTTCGTCAATAATAAAGCCACCAAAGCGCTCCTTTTTCTTTTTCTTTCGTGGATGATCATCTTCGTTTTCTTCCTCTTCGTATTCCTCAGAATCGATCTCTTCTCCTTGTTGATCTTCATCTTCGGAATCATCGGTTTTGCGGCGATGTCCACGTCCTCCTTGGGGCTGTGGAGAATCGGATCCGGAGCCCGAATGGGCTGAATGAGAACGCGAGCGAGAGGATCGGGATCGGGATCGGGATCTGGATCTAGATCTGGAAATCGATCTTGACCTTGAGCGTGGGCCAGATTTGGATCTAACACTTTGTTGCGACTTGTTAGATATGGATCCATCGTCCGATCCACTATCCGACATATTGCTGACTTCGGAGTCCGACATTTTTTCACTCTGTAAACGTGTACAAAACCACGCGTTATGTTAATACAATAAAATGAACATATTCAAAAGTCTGCTAATAGTTATACTTACTGATATCTTAATATTCAATCTATATATTAGCCATACATTTGCACAATATATTATTAATTATAATTCTTACAGAGAATGCAATGGGGTTGCTATTAAATTGACGCTTAGTTATGGACGATGGAAAATATACATTGAAAATAGAAAGGTTGCCATGAAATGAAGCTATCGATTGTTCAAATATGATATCGAGCTTCGACGTTTTTAGCTTATCGATGTTTTTTATTTTAAAATAAGTGCTCACATCATAATAATAAAAATGGTCATATATTATTTAGTTTTTCAGTAAAGTAATTCAATTTATTTGTTGTGTAACCTTAAGATACTATGTGTCATGTTTTTTCGAAATGACCGTCCTGTACTTCAGTCCCTTCATTGATATTAATAGAAGTAGAGTGCTGCTGTAAAAATAATTAATAATATAGTAAACAATGCTACAAAATATTAAATTACATGTTGGATAATAGAAACATAATTGAAAGTTTGCGTTAAATATGAAACGTAGTTTCACTACAATTTGTGACGTCACCTTTATCATCTCTGGCTTTGTGCGAATGGCAGTCCAGACCAAATACAGCAGATGACACTCCTATGAATAGAAATATTAAAAAGACAAGAAGAAGAACGTGTGTGGGGAAGTAATACCTGTTTTTATATTTCACAAATATTAAATAACTAAATAGTTCAGGCAATTTGTCAAATGATAAATCGGTTCACTATGTTTGCAAATCGATTATATACATAGATGATTTCATAAACAAATAATGCACAAACTGAATGAGCGAGTATATATAGCATATTAGAGTTTTATATATGTATGTGCATGTATGTATGTTTGTATGTGTGTATATAGAAATTAATACAAGGCATACGCATATATTATTTTCGAGAGATTCGACTTTCGGATCAATCAACCGCAGTATGATAGAGAGATTATTGAATGTCAAATTGTTATTCTAGGTTTGTGTGTTAATTTGCAATAGAACAAAATCAAAAAATTGCGTGCACCTTATTCTAATAAAAGAAAATTACGTTTTAGAAGATGCAACGCGTTGATTTCAGACGATGTCTGCATTGAATATATGTGTATGTACATAAATAATTTAAGTCTGGATTGCATACATTATATATAGGTGGTGAATTTTTGAATAAAATCGCCTACTGTGCGATATATTTGGAACATGAACACCGCAGAGCGCAAGAACCAAAGCAGTCAGCCGCATAAGAACAATGAATGTAAGTAAATATTGAATAATGAATGTAAACATAAAATATAACATAATATAATTTTATTTGTTTATTAGCCCACTCTGAAGATTATGTTCTTCAGGTACATATGCCAAACAAGAGTTTTAAATCAATAGTCTTCAATAGAGATGAAACAGTTTTCCACATTATACGAAAAACTGTCGAAGAGTTTGGGAAAGATGGACAACCACCTCCCAGCATTCAGAGATATGCGTGTCGAATGTTGAACGTAATAACGAAAGAAGTATGTCTAACGAATATGGTATTGGAATCTGTTTACTAAATCTATAAATAAACAATTATCAGGTACTATGGTTAGCAAGAACAACGTCGATGGACAAGGTTTTGTCTCACATTCTGTCACCTGGCTGCTCGAATGTCGATTGTCCAAACAACGATCCCATAAAAGCTGAGCTTGCTGAACACAAAGATACTCATCAAGGTCGAAGAGCTGTTACCACAGGAGTGTGGCGTGTCGAGTTACGCGTGCGATATGTGCCCCATAAAATTCAAGAATTATTCGACGAAGATAAAACGACTTGCTTCTATTTCTTTGATCAGGTAAGATAATTGCAAAATAAATATATACGTCAATCAAATGTAATTGAGAATGTGTGGTTGATATTTCAGGTAAAAGACGATTATATTCAATCGAATATATCTGGTATCGATGCCGATGTAGCAGTTCAACTATGCTGTTTGGGTATACGGCATTACTTCAAGAACATAACGTTAAAAGCGCCAGATAAAAAACAGCATATTGATTACATTGAGAAGGAAATTGGATTCAAATGTTTTATTCCGCAATCTGTGATAAGCACAACAAAGCCAAAGAATCTGAAGAAGATGATACAGGTCGGATACAAAAAGGTCTACAACTATAATGACATTGAATATTTGACAAAGTATGTATTCGTGTGAGCCCCATTAATATAAGATTAATTGTTCTAATCAACTACATTTTTCTTAAAAGGTTCTTCGATCTTCTTAAAAACTTTTTCATAACCGATTTCGAACAATTTTCTGTCACCTTGAGCTCCGCCTGGAATATATCTGGAATTCTGCATGTTGGTCCGCATATTGGTAAGAGCTTTATAAGTTTAATAGCTTTATTAGTTTAGTAATTATTAAATCGCATATACTTTTCAGGAATCTCTTACCAGACACATCCACAAGCCAGCTTAAGGAATGTTGCACAATTCAAAGATGTGGTAGCTATTAAAACCTGCGCTCTTCCAAAGGAAAAATCATCTAACGAACTCGAGTTACAAAATTTGAAATGCAATTGTCAAAAGATCAAGACTCAAATCAAAATATCTGCATCAAATATTACGGAAGATTTGATCATAACATGCAATGGAGTTAATGTAAAGTTAACAATTAATACTTTTTATCATTCTTATAGTTATAATTATGTATCCATTTTTAGACCGCTGAAAGTATTGCCGATCTTATTGATGGATATTGCAGGCTATTATCGAAAGATCTAGGATTTACAGTTTGGGAACGCGAAACGAACATTGTGAAAAGTGCAACGAAGTCACCAAATCCTGCACAAGATGATCTTGATTCGTCATCCCCTGCTAAAACTAAACCCATGCTTACAGATGATTATGCTGAAATTGGTTTATTGGAAGGCGAAGGAGATTACTCCACTCCCACTGGTATGTTATAGCTGCTTCTAAATATCATTTAAGTCATATTAATATTGGTTTCTCTCTTATTAGTGCGCAATTATGAATTGGATCGATCTCAAATAGTTCTAAGCGCTAAAATTGGCGTGGGACAGTTTGGAGACGTCTACGTTGGCACATATACAGTTCCAATATCAGCTAAAGCTAAAAATAAAAGATCCGAACGTGCTCAGAATAGTAGCGATGCCAAATATACTGTAATGCAAGTTGCTGTAAAGACATGTAAAGCAAACGAGGATCCAGAAAAGACAGAGAATTTCCTTGCCGAAGCATGTAAGTTAAATGATCTGTAGAAGAACCTTGCTTAAATTTTGTAGACTCCAAGTTGTATGATCAAATATTGAATATGCTTCTCTAAATCTTCATTTCAGATATAATGCAAAAGTTCCATCATCCACACATTATTCGATTGATTGGTATTTGCAGTGTAATGCCCATTTGGATTGTAATGGAATTGGCTCAGCTTGGTGAGCTGCGTGCGTACTTAAAAGCGAACAGCGAGAGGTAAGCAAAGCACATTTCTAAAGAATTATAACAATTATACATAATATTTCGCCTCCAGGTTAACTCATGGAACTTTGCTTCAATACTGTTATCAGTTGTCAACGGCGCTTAGCTATTTGGAATCAAAGAAATTTGTTCATCGAGATATTGCAGCTAGGAATGTGCTTGTGAGCAGTCCTACTTGTGTTAAGGTGGGCAAAGTATATAAAAATCCTAAAATGTATTCATTCATTAAACTTAAAATCTTTTAGCTGGCTGATTTTGGTTTATCTCGATGGGTTTCGGATCAGTCCTATTATCACTCAACACCCACAGGTTTGGAATTAAATTATTATGAAATTTACATCGGGAAAAAATTAAATAAAATTTATATTTTAGTTGCACTGCCTATTAAATGGATGTCGCCCGAGTCGATCAACTTTCGAAGATTCACAACAGCTAGTGACGTTTGGATGTTTGGTTAGTAAATGGTATAATATCACAATATAACTTATTTAACATTAATTAAATTTCTGTATAGGTGTTTGCATTTGGGAAATTCTTATGCTGGGCGTTAAACCGTTTCAAGGCGTTAAGAACAGTGATGTAATCACGAAGCTCGAAAATGGAGAGAGGCTACCATTGCCACCCAACTGTCCACCCAGATTATACTCACTTATGTCTCAATGTTGGGCATATGAACCGCTAAAAAGACCAAATTTCAAACGGATAAAAGAAACTCTTGAGTACGTTTTGAAAGAAGCTTTTGCTTGGTAGATATTTTTTTAATATAATTCATATTTTAGAGAAATATTATCAGAAGACGATATGAACTCAACGGAGACGCTGAGGCGTGAGAATCGTCGTCTTGCAGGAGTTTCTTGGATTGGCAACGAAGACAGCGATATTCCACCATTGAAACCATCTCGAACAGTAAATGATACTGGTAAGCTTACATAGTGAATTGAACAATTTGATTGATAATTTATTAATTGTTTTTGCCTTCAGATCTTCCTAGCATGTTAAATACGTCGGATGAGAACAAAAGTGTGGCGCAGACCTATATCATTGCCCAAAATCCAGCAGTTCTTGCCAGATTAATGATGGAAAATCAAAAGCGCGGCATTAATCCTGCAGCATACACTACACCCGCTTCGGTATTTAATACTTTAGCCGTAGGCATAGATTCCAGTACATCGAATCATTCGCTTAAAACTACTAAACTCCCCGCAGCGGAGCTCTTCAAACTCGATCCTGTCGTTGATCCAAAAGTTCAAAACAAATTTCCAACTAACAGCAACTCTTCCCAAAACCTTTATCCATCTCCATCTGTCATAAGTTCACTTGACTCCACCCACATGCCGTCATATTTACCCCCTACGAACATTAGGCCTCAGCAGGTATCAGGATTTATGTCAGAGAATTTGCCACTTAAAAATAATTTTATAATAAGTGCACCGCACACGGATAATGACTTTCACGCGAATCAGACGCAGACGGACAGCAAATGTGGTAACCCAGCGGCTAGAGTCTCAGGTTATAGTCTTTATGGAAGTCTTGAAAGGCATCAGCCACAAATGGATAAGCCTATGCATTCAAAGGGCGGCAGCCTGGAGCGCCATCAATCATTAATGACGGCACAGAACTTAGTCTTTCATAAACCAGGCACGAGTTACTCTGACCGTTCCAGAAGCATTGAACGCAAGAGTCATTTCAATGCCTATCGCCAACAAATGAAAACGTCAATTGAATGCGACGCTCTGCCAGAGGAAATCTATGACTTTGGCGGTGTTGGCCTCAAGACTTGTGTATCTGTTAAACAAAAGAACGATTCAACATCCTTAACACATGCACCGCCAAACCATTCTACCCAAATAGGACAAGATTACAAAAGTCCAGGGCAGTGCTTCGCTGGAAATCAAAATATTTTATGCAGCGAAAATTTAACAAGCGATGCACATGAAAATCCTGGAGAGCCACAATGGACGACGCATTCTTATCCACTTCAGGTTGAACTCAATAACGATAATTTGGAAGGAGCAGCTTGTATTCAAATGAATTCTGAAGTGGGAAATCAGGTTTGGCTGGACGAAGTATTATCCTGACACATGACAAGACGTCTTTATCTTTTTTGATTTCCGTTTTTAGTTATATTATTTAATTGGTTTATTTTAAGTTATGTTTAACAGAAATAATTTATGCGGATGACAGACAATAATGTATAATTTTAATTTTCAGACAATTCCTAATCCAATTGTGGATAAGCTATGGCAACAGCGAAAAGACAGTAACAGCGATGGTGAATGGCTGTATCAGGAGGAAATGGTGGTAAGTTGAGAGTTAAACAACAATCAAGCTGTTCACTAAATTATTACTTTACAGAGAAAGCGATCTAGTCCAATAACATCCGGAGTTGATACAGATATTGGAAAACATCGATCTTACCAGCCTGACATGATATTTGAGAGCACAACGGGATCTTTAGATTCTGCAAACTCCAAGACAAGGCCAAAATTACCAAATACCGTTTCTCTCAAGTTAAATAACTCGCCATCTGATCACATGGTATCTCAGGCAGCAGAAGACAGCACAAAGTTAAGAAACAACGAGCATCGTGAATCGTTACGGCCAATAAATAGAGCAAATGATGAGATTTACTGTGCTACAACAGCAGTTGTCAAATCAATTATGGTACTTTCACAAGGTGTAGAAAAAGCGCATGTCGATGGTTACTTAAATTTGGTTAAAAATGTGGGTGTGGAGCTTCGAAACCTATTGAAATCGGTGGATAATATTTCTATATTCTTTCCGGCTCAAGCCCAAAAGTAATTTCGCATATTCACACTAATATGAATGTATTATTTAAAGTCATTGTTTTTGATTTGCAGAGAAGTCGAGATGGCGCACAAAGTTCTCTCAAAAGACATGCAGGAGTTGGTTTCTGCAATGCGATTAGCGCTTCAATACAATGATACTACTTTGGACAGTGAATATCGAAAGTAATTATGTCAATCGAATAAAGAGAAAGTCTTTTATTAATATTTTATTTTCTCTTTTATAGGAGTATGTTATCTGCAGCACATATCTTGGCCATGGATGCGAAGAATCTTTTTGATGTTGTCGATTCAATAAGGAATCGATATCAAACTTTTGCAATTCCCAACAGAAAAGCATCAAGTGGATCATTGAGTTGTGAAACCAGTCAATCGCCTGGCGACAACGGTTCTGCCTCATCATCTCTTTCTATTGGTGTCGAACCGTTAAAGTCCATGGCTGACATAAGTCTGTACGACAATGAAAACTTACACCAAAGCTACAACGCACAACATTTACAAACATCTAGCTGCAGTGGCAGCATTATTGATGGCAACAGTCAGGGCAGCTTACACATTGAACATGAACTTAATCATGATGGGCGCTCCAATGAGCCCTTGAAAATCATAGAAGACACATTAAATAATCCAGCCGAGCATATGTATTGCAACACATCCACCGTACATGGCCACGCATAAATAATTAGATTGCTAATCCTATTACTTCATATTAATATATCTTGAATCTTAAGTCTACAGATAGTATATGCTAACATTCTGTGTATATAGGAAACCAAAATACGTATGTACATATGTTTTTTTCACAAAAGCGGAATTCATCTCAAGAACTCATAACACACATAACATTAATAACATAAATATCGCATGTTCATAAAAATATGACGAACACTCAACGTCGGCCGGCCGTCAAGTAGTCAAAAATACATTAAGGTACTAAATATGTTTATATAACTCAAAAAATATTAATAAATAAATACGAAAAACATTCGACTAAACGATATCCTGCCTCGCGCCGATGTTTAATTTCATATTAATATATGTTGTATAATTAACCGGGTAAAAATTTAACTAAAAAGTCAAGGTACTTAGTATATTAGTATCAATCGATTATTTTAGAATATATTAAGCCGTCCAATTTAAGAGTATTAGAAGTTTTAACAAAGTTAGTTAGAGAGTAAGCACAATAATTCGATAGAGAAATTACAAGAATAAAATGCTTACGACCCAAATTACAAGTTTGATCAAATTTTAATTTAACGCTTTTAATTCAATGAAGGCAATTTGAGATTAGACATAGAGGTTTACAATTTACGCTTTAAACTAAACAGAGTAAAAGACATTTGAAAACTTTTTCCACTGATTTGAAATATATAATATTGAGGAGACTTGTATTAAAAGGTATATTTAAATAGAGCTGCTGATAGATTTTCTATGAGTAAATTGTCTGTTCAATCCATTCTTCCAACGTAAACGTTGCAGTTTCGTTCTTTTCCGTATCTCTTTCTTTGAATATTTCTGAAATGAAAAAATATGAAATATATTAGAAAGTTATTTATATATATAATAAATTTTGAATTACCAATATAAGTTTTTATTTTCACTGCACACATGAGGAAATCATCAAATGCGATCTTGCCATCTCTCGATCCATATCGATGACCCAAGGCATTTAGAACACGATTGTTCAAATGGTAGCCCGCTGAGTTAAGCGCTTCGCGTAGCTGAAAGCCTGAAATTCTGCCCGAATTCTCAGTGTCGTATGTTTTGAATATAGCCTTCCATTTGGCAATATCCGAAAGCAAAGCCTCAAACTCCTCAAAGCCCAGTTTACCAGACTTATCTGCATCCAACATCGCCACCATCGAGCGGCAAACATCTTTGGAAAAGCCATGTGTCTCATCGACAATGGCTGTAAATTGGAATAGGAAATGTAAAAATGTTAAAATTGTGTTATTCAGTTATTCTTTATATATATCATATCATAAATATGAGTATTTTGTAATATATATAATTCATAACATAGTAGTATATATATATATTACCTGTTGGGCTCTCTTCGATCAGTCTTTTGTTAGACTGATCATTTCCGCCCAGCTGTTCCTCAAACGGAGTACCTTTAAGGAATGGTCCACATATTAAGGATAGTAGGCCACAGGCATCGCCAGGCATTTCGTCCTGAGTGCCTGCCTGCGTTTCAAATGCATTAAAAGTTGTTTGCCGGTTATAGACAACAGCCTTTGGTAAATCTACAATACAAAAGTATTAAAATTAAATTCACAATATAACTTGTATTGCTGCATCAACTTACCATCGCGCATCGAATGATCTAATATTCGTTTTAGCTCCATCCAATCCACTTCCATATCCTTACCAGCAATGCTGTCAAATAATCTGCGCAAGCCTTCTTTTTGGGGATCGACGGGCTTTGGTGTTGGAAAACCTGGTACAACCTTTTATTGAAGATTATATTCATTAGTTTACTAATTTATTATATATAATTATATTGACTTACCTTATTCGAATCGTCGCCGTAACCAACGTGATCATCATTTTCTCTATACAGAAGTGAAAAATTGACATGATTGATGAGAATTGAAGTAGAATGATTTTCGAAATTATTATAATAATTTTACAAAGGTACTTTACATCTTGAAGGTATAGATAAATCAATGTAAATGAAAGACACAAAAAAAAAAATTCATTGTTGATTGAAAATATTAACTAAATTTATCGATATACTCTACAAATATAAATCTAATTTGATTGATGCAAATGAAAATGTTTTATTTTAATTAAAACAATAAAGATAGACTTGTATTGCACAATTGATTTATTCGAAGGTTATTTACATTTGTAATCAAAGAATAGCTATAGATAAAATACAAGCAACAATTGTAACTTCTCAATGTCTTTTCAACAACTAGAGATTTCTTGGATCATAGAAAATTGTATTTCTTGAAAGTCTTTGCAATAAAATACTAAATATTTTAAATTAAAAATAAATTGTTAGAGCTTAATAAATAAATAATATTTCTAGACGGTTAAGATAGAGATATAGCAAAATGCACTAAAATAATACTCCAAGGAAGGAATTTCGGATTCTAGGAATTTAATACTTTAAATTTGCTTTAGACATTGTTAAGAAAGGCGTTTTACTACATATTTCGAGCTCATTCCAACTGGCATTAGACCTCCCGCAATTATTTTCTCCGACAACTATACAAATTTACGATCGAACAATACACATGCATACAGATTATTAATTAAATACATAATCAATCACATACCCCGCATACCCCTTGAAAATTGCATTTCGCATTAATTAGACTGATTGGAAAAATAAATCTGCTGCCGAATTACATCTAATATACAAACTCTTCTTCATTTGCATTATATACGCACTCCATATTATTTTTAGTTTCGGAGAAGACGCGAATGATGAACTCTCCTTCCTCGTTCGGATCAAAAGTTGAGGGCACAATGAGATAGTGACCCGGAGGTAGATTAAATCGAGCGCATACCTATTAGGAGAAGTAAGTTAATGCGTTTAGATATTCTCTATTTACCTTCAACATACCTCTCGAGTGTTAATAAAGTGAGGCGATCGTCCCACGGAGGACTTATACTTGAAGAAGTTAATTCCCTGTGGACGGTTTTCCAAATCACGTTCGGTTAGGCTGTAAATAGCAAAACCAATTGTAAGGCACTCCATTCCCATATTGCGTTTGGATCTACGATTCTTTTGCATTAGCGCAACAATAACTGTGCAGTTGCCGTCCTCGTCCTGCTCATCGGGATCCACCAGGGTAATGATGTATTGAGGATTATGCCAAAATGTATCTAAGAAATTTCTGCAGCCACCTGCTGTAACGCCAGGTGTCCATTCACCCTCGTACATTGACATCTCCCATTTGCGTTTACCGCTGTGCTGATCGTCAGATGTCTTTGAGAAAGACTCTGGCGATAAATTGCAAAGCTCAACACGATCAAAATGAGTTAAGAAATCTTGGAATGTCATCCAAAATTCTCCATCTCTATCGAAGTTGAGGCCGATTTCCTGCTTCTGTTCCTCGGGTATATAACGCCATTCAGGCGAGCTATCGCTCCATGGACCGTTCCACTCTGCTTCATTTCCCCAAGGATTCCGCATGCGAATCATTGGAATCTTTCCTTGTCGATTCGGTGTCACAATATCAATGAGGCAAACCTGCAGACATTTATATATGCACACCAATAAGTAAATATGTATGCTAAAAATAAATAATAAGTACAGCACCTTAGTAATAGAGTAAGCATGTCCTCTAATCAATCCTTGGGGCGTTTCAGCTTCCAGCACATTGGGATCTGCTTCAATTGAACAACCCATCATGGAGTTACGTTCAGCTGCTTTTTGGAGTATAGTAAACAAATTTGGTGGTGCCTCTTTGAGGTCAAACCATTCACTGACGCCTCCTGTGAAATCTTCCATTGCCTCGCATGTGGTGCCACCCTTAAGCGCTTCATACGATCCATGCAGTCTAAGTTTACACAAGTTAGTAGTATATAATGCTTTTTCGATTCATTTACATACTTGGCATATGCCTTCTCCAAAAGTGCACTCCAGAATTCATTTTTCTCAGCCGAATGCATATAGAGTAACTCTCCTCGATACGTTGGCAAACGATCATCAATAATTACATCAACCCATTTACCTGATTATATGTACATAAAAATTTATTATTTTTAGAATTTCATATACTTAAGCCAAAAATCAGGTCTAATAAAAATAATAATAACTATCTGTTCTAGCTAAAAATATTTATTACCGTATTGCCAGAAGCGAAAATGAAATATTCCAGCGTAATTTTCTTGAAAACTCTGTTCTGGGGGTATTACACGGAAGAACAAGGATGATTCAGATGTCAAATTGGCAGTGGCAGCCAGTAGCCAGCAATCGCCAAGTTCGCCCTGTTGCACATCAAATCGAGAATAGCCTTCTACAAAGAATTGCGGATTTTCAACGATTTCCTGGATTTGTAAATTAATTATTAATATTTGTTCTCTTTGATTGTTTAACAGTTAGAACTTACATGAGGACGCAACCATTCTATATAGCGATCGGGACGACGTGAGAACATAAGCGACTCATTGCTAGCCGGAAACAGTGGATCCTCAAACAGCGATCCGCTCGTCAAGCAGCTATTCAATATAGTTTCATAATCCTGCACCTCCGAATAGGGACCGAGATTCGATTGTGTTTCTCCCAGCTAGAAAATTATGTGATTGTTAATATAATTGATTTTGGAGGATTTTTTTAGTGGACTCTGGTGAATTTTTGTCTGAGGATAATTGAATGAAATTATTTTTTAAACATTTTTTTTTTATATATAAAATATATATAGAGAATATTACATTTAGAGGTACATATATATTGTTTTATATTTTACATATTTTTACAATATACAAAATTTTAACAATACATCAACAACATATTTTTAAAGAGAGATCCCATATTAAAATTACTGAAGACACGCTCCTGAGATTTATCAACATCCGTAACATCCAAACTTGTTAAAAAATAAACCTGCCAATTTCTTAATTGTTTATACAGTTCTGTTACAGGTTCCTGTACGGGCTCTTTTAAAACTTTGTTAATTTCCATAAATAGGTTATTCATATCTTATTATTATATAGTACACACACAAAGTAAGCTAATCGCCTAATCGAGTTAAAAGTGATTTAAAAATTAGGAAATCTATAAATATTTTATTTGACAGTCTTAATATCAATATAAGTACTTTTGTATATATAAATGAAAAATTGTGTAAAATTGAAGCTTAGCTAATAAAAATGTTAATGAACTTTACTAATAATTAATAGACATGTGTGTTTAGACAACTTAGAGCTAGACACAATTGCAATTAAAAAATCACGAACAAATACACAAATAGTATTTTAGACAATTTATCAGCCTTACTTACATTACCATAAAATATAGGTATGGGTGCACTATTCAATGGACGCTATATTTTAAATTTTATTGATTTTTTTATGGTTAATTGACAGAAATGTTAGAAGTGTATAAATGATATGAATGTCTAAGAGTATATATGTATATAGAGCACAAAATATGTATGTAGATATAGTTGTAGTCGATCATGCATTGCATTTAATTTATCACTTACCACACGCATGTTCTTAATGCTTGGCAGGATTCGCTTTGTCTCCGCTTCCTTTTTGACAAAGATTTCGTTTATGACGGAGCCAACGACTTCCTTGGCCGCGCCCATTGCTGCTTGGCCAGCGGCATTGAGAAACTCCTGCCCGGCCTGTTTAAAAAATCCTTTGAGTTCATCCATCTTGGAATGAGAACCTGAAAATTAAAAGTACAAGTTTATTTTAAAGGAATTTTGAATGAATGTATATCAAATAAATGAAAATAATTGTAAGTTTGATGTAATACCTATGGGTATGACCATTTTTCTTTAATTATTTGTATTTATAATTGATAATTGACGTCAATTAAAATCACTATGTGATATACAGGAAATTGCTTAAGCAGCAGCTATATATTATAAATATACTATATAGTTCTGACTATGTTATATATTGCTATATCTGACCGTTCTTAACTATAGCACTCTCAATACTATTCTGAATAAAATTTGTTTTATTATATATTTTTATAGTTACATTTCTTACTGCTCTTAGATATTTACTTAATTTTGTTTTGCAAATGAACAGCTTGGGACAAATTTTAAATTATCCCAGTGGTAATTATTTGTCAGTATTAACTCAGGAATTATACATATATACATATTATTATTCTATGAAGTCACGCAATGAGACTTACTTAATAGTCAGAGTCATTCTCAAAGCATTCGCAACAGAAACACTATGAAAATAATCTTTAATAATGAATATAAAAGGGCTTGGACCAGAATGTTAGACTAGTCAAATTATAGAGCAAATTAAGTTCCCATGACATGTTTTTTATTTTTTAAATACAAATATAAATATTTATTTTGGGCTTACTGAAATCTAGCATTCATTTGTTATCTTTGCAATTGTTTATAAAACTTGGCGAAATCGAAAGATAACTGGTATTTCTTGTTTATGTATTTTTTATTATTGATAGAATTAATTATTTATGGAATATGTGAAGGAATTCGATATATGGATATTACCTACTGAAATATTCTACAAATTTTTAGTTATTTTTAATAATATATAATAAAAAATATTTAATGCAATAATTATTTTGAATTCATTAAAACTTTTGAATAATTTTTTATTTTTTATTTGTTATTATTTCAATCAAATTAAAAAAAAAAAATCAATGAATTGAAATCATTTTATACCTTTTTTTTTTTTTTATTTCAGGCCTTGTTTTAAAATCCAACTGAATTTAAATTTCAGAGAGACAAATACCCGTTATTCTTCAAATATGAATACTATACAATCGCATACCATTGACATACCCCTTTTGATGCCTTGCTAAACCACACGTAAACATATTTATTTTCTAATTCTTCATTCATATAAAAAACACTCATATCCAAATACATACATATACAATTTAATGGTGACATCATATACATATCCAAATACATCTAGCCACATACATACATATGTTTGCACGTGTGTAACAATTTTTGTTCATTTTAGAACAGATGAGCTTGAACGTTTCTTGATCGACATACAAACAAATAAATAGATATATTTAATTCGCTTTTATTGGTCTATTCAACTATATATGTATAAGTTTGCATGTTTGTACAAACATACATATGTATGTATGTGTGGGAATTTTGTCAACATTTTTTCTAAAACGAAAGTATCTCTGATACCACAATTCACATTTCTATGCAATGCCGCAAAACTGGTTTAATAACAAACTACGGAAATACGTTGTATATATATATGAACTACATACACATATATAAATTATTTTTATACATAGTATCTAGTCAATAATTATATTAGTAATCATCGAAACATCTATTTATAATAAATATGTATTTGATACAACACAGTATTTGAGATTAAATAAATCATTTCTGTTTGACACTTGTGGAATCTTTTCAACAACAAAGTGCGTAAATATGCCAATATATATATTTAACAAAAAAGAAAACACTATGTAACTACTCACTTAAATAAGACTCGTTCGTATATTACGCTTGCACTCAACGAACTGTTACTGACTCTTTCTCTTCCAGAATGAGCAGCCAACTATTTGAGTACTTTGCTGATGAGCAATCAGCTGATGCCGAAAATACTAAAAAATTATCGATAATACAAAAGTTTTACACGATAACAATTTCATTTGAATAAATTAAAATAGAAAATTCTTAATAAGCCACGTTTTTTATTAATTAAAAAATTTGTATGAACACAGGTATTTTTAATTTAATAAACAATATATGAAAAATAAATAATATTACCATATGAAATTAATACCATGTTAACTCTTAATTTTGCTGATTTTTTACAGCCGATTTAACTAGTTTATTTTTTATTATTATTAATATAAATTATAAATTTGACAGTTGTTTTGCTAAGCAAATAGAATATGTTCATATTTTATTTCATTTGAGAATGTGAAACTTGTAAAACAAAGTCACGGCTTACGAACCTTTAGATAAAACGAGCTGGTTAACAAGTTCCGCAATTGCAACACACTGGCGATCGTAGTGGCAGTCCTGCCAACTTGTTTGCAAATAGCTAACTAAAAAAATGCATCCATGGGATTAAGATACATACAACGAATCTAATACTAGTGTGTATGTATTTTTAATGTACACATTTAAAAGTATACTAATAGAAAAGATCACTATAGAATAATCGAAGAAACAGTCTACATTGCTGGCAGCTTAAAACAAAAGACTTACTGTGCAAAACACGATGACACCATCAATTGGCGTTTTACCAACGCTTTTCGCAGTAATATTCATTATTTTTATTGCGCCTCAAGCCGAATCGACACAATCTGGAATATATGTCGATAATGGTAAAGATCAGACGGTAATGCAACGTGTGCTAACCGACGAAGACAAGCTGGATGTATCCTATGAAATATTGGAGTTCCTGGGAATAGCCGATCGTCCCATGCATCATCGCAACCATGGGCTATCCCTAAGAAAATCAGCTCCAAAGTTTTTACTTGATGTTTATAATCGCATTACCGCTGAAGAAGGACTCACAATTCAAAGTAGCAACGAACACAGTCGCTCCAAGCGAGATCTAAATGAAAATGAGCAGAATTTTATAACTGATCTCGATAAACGTGCAATTGATGAAAGTGATATTATAATGACATTCTTAAACAAACGTAATCACAATGTGGAAGAGATGCGGCACGAGCATGGACGTCGTCTCTGGTTCGATGTCAGCAATATACCCAATGATAATTACCTAATGATGTCCGAACTGCGCATTTATCAGAATTCAAACGAAGGCAAATGGATGACGACTAATAAACAATTTACAGTTACCGTCTACATGATCCGATCCAGCGGATCGTCACAGAATACATTAGAGCCGCTTTCCTCGGTGAACACAACGGGCGATTATGTTGGCTGGCTGGAGCTGAATGTCACAGAAGCGCTGCATGATTGGCGCACCAATGCGAATGAGAATCATGGCATCTATATCGGAGCACATGCTCTGAATAAGCCAGATCGTGAAATTAAATTGGATGACATTGGCTTGATTCATCGCAAGATCAAGGTGGACGATGAGAATCAACCGTTTATGATTGGATTTTTCCGAGGCCCCGAACTGATCAAGGCCACAGCCTCGCACAATGCACAAAGGCGTACCAAACGCAGCACATTGCATCAGCGCAAGAAGAGCAAATCGGAGCCGGTGAATCCATTTGCGGAAAATATCGTTGAGAATACACGCAGCTGTCAGATGCAAACACTTTATATTGACTTCAAGGATCTGGGCTGGCACGATTGGATCATTGCGCCAGATGGCTACGGTGCCTTTTACTGCAGCGGCGAATGCAATTTTCCACTTAATGCGCATATGAACGCCACGAATCATGCGATCGTTCAAACTCTGGTCCATCTGATCGAGCCGAAGCGAGTACCGAAGCCCTGCTGTGCACCGACACGATTGGGCGCATTACCTGTACTCTATCACCTGAATGATGAGAATGTGAATTTGAAAAAATATAGAAACATGATCGTTAAGTCCTGTGGGTGCCATTAAATATATCAATTTATATAGTTTGTAAATCTACATTACCATTTACATGTACTTCCAATCTCGAATATATATATATATATATACACATATATATATAAACCAAATGTATTATAAAAAGAATATGATTTTGTATTGTATTGAAAAACAAAAAAAAATCCAACTGATTACAAATGAAATGATAATGCATTTTCCTATACATTCATGTCTGCAAGTTATACACAATTAAGTTTCTAAATGAGATTACATATGTAATAATTTCAATTTCAATTTTATAATAATAATAGTAATACATAGTTATTGTAGTTGTACTATCCGTAACTATGCTTAAGTAACATAATTTATCCAAAGTGATTTTCTGTTTGATTCTTGTCTTGAATCAATACTTAAAACGCTTTCAACTAGCTGAACGCCAATAGTACTAACTGATTGTATAATTAATGTTAATTGTTATGTGTGTGTATCCAATGGTGTCGAAATGCAAATAAATCCATAATTAAATTTCCAACTCTCTTTTCTAAAATAGTCAATGCATGGAAGCCACCAAAAGTGGGAGCGGCTAAATTTAAGGATGCGCAGGCTTGCCTATAAAGGAGATAAATACGATTAAATGCAAACTCAGTTTGAATGGGTACCGTAAAATTCTCTAGTCGGCAGAGCCTGACTAAACTACCCTGTAACCACTGCGCAGGGTTACAATGTACAACAACATATGGGTTTCAGGGTTATGCAAATGTGATTTAAATTTTCTTATACTTACAGAATTTCTCTTGATGCAATTTTATTTCGGAAATATTCCTTTAAAACAAATATATCATTTTGTATCTGAACTCGACAAATGCTTAATACAACATCCGGGTTTTTCGAATACAAAACAACAAAAATGTATCTAGTAGATGTTTCAATTGGCCTTACAAACTTGCCAAGGACACTTTCAATATAGGATGCATTGCTTTCCCTATAAAAACTTCCTGGCGTGTCATTTGTATAGAACAAAAAGTAATGCTTCTCCATACGATGCATATTATTGGAATCACATGTTGTTTGCTGCCAGGTGAAGTGTGAATTGATCCGCTGCAAATAGTGATAGGGTAATTTGAAAGTCGGTCGAAGCCCAAAGCTGGAACAGTGCAGAAATCCGGCAGCATCGTCTTCAATCTCCAATATTTTAGTTAACGTTTCGAAGAATAAAACCTTCAACGGATCTCTAGCGTCATTTCGCCATTTGTCCAATGCGCAGCAATATCTTAGAAAATATTGATAGGCTTTGAAGAACTCTTGACGTATTTTCATTACAAGATCAAAATCAAATTTCGATACGATCAACCAGATCCATTCGTCTATAAAAAAGTTAACGTCCGTTTTAGCTGGCGATAATACCTCTGCACTATGGCTATAGCTCAAGTTTTCGGAGCCTGAAAAGATCGAACAATATTAAATAAAAGATATAGATCATTTGATATACCTACCCGAAAAAATAGCCACAGCCAATGGACTCACAGCAGTTGCATATCTGATAATATTTTTTTGCTTCGTGCAGACGAGCCAATGGGCAGTTGTTTGGAATGGTTCTAAAAACTTGCGAAAAATTGAATTCGAATGCAAATAAACATTTGCTGATTGACAAGAATGCAGAGTATTACGCTTCTGATCCACAGCACAAATATCGGGATACATGCCGGCGGTCAGAGCAGCTTTAACCATAGGCCAATTCTTCGATTGCATGTTAATGCTTTGAAAACAGAGTTGGCCATTGCTGTGTATCAAATGGGAAGCTCGCAAGGAGTTAATAATTTTGATGCGCTTCAGGTTCACCTGCTCCATAAGGCCATTGCGCACGAAATCATATTCGTCGGTTAGGCACAGGGACAAATTTTCATTTTGGAAGTTTGCTTGCCATTCTTGGAAAATATGTACAAAGATTATGTGATCTGATAAATGACCCTCTGCCAAACGAGCACGTTCTTCTTTGATACAATTCTGTATATAAATTGTAAATTTATTCCACTTGGAGTCAATATCTTCGCTGAAGGGCAGACTCAATGGATCTGCTGTGCACAGCGAGCTGACAATGGTCAATATAGGATCCAAACATTGCAGTAAAATGCCAAAGACTAAAGTTCTGCCCAGTTGACAAGAGACGGGTAAATCTATCAAACGACAGCCAAGCAGCGTCGCAGCCTCCGATTCTTCCAATACTTCAATCTTCTTCAGGAACGCCACAGTTTGGTGGATACTTAAGGGGGGAGGCGGCGCAATAGTATATGCCAAATATTCACTAATACATACAGTGGGACACAATAACTTGACAGTCAAGCAGATTTTGTCCAATTGCATTGTCTGCATCGGCGGTTGGCTAAACTCGTTCAGCGTTTCGAAGATTTCTCTTGACATTAGACGAAAACAATATTTTTCACTAAAAGCTGCAATTATATAATAATTATGAAATAACGGAATCTTGGTAATCTGGTTGTGTAACCAACCTTTATCGATGCCGTTATCAAGTAACAATTGTCTTCTCAAAAGACTATCTTTTGCTGCCCATTCATAACGCTCCCCAGTGCTATTGCTGATCCCATCATATATTGGCTTCATCTGGCATGCTGTATCTATTAGATATTGAAATGTTATTGGAATCGGCAGTGATTCGACTATATCTGTAGCCAAGACAATTTTGCATGTCTTTGTTTGAGATTTTGTCAGAGAGTGCAAATACTCTTTGTCCATGTCCTTGTGCAGCAAGAGAATGGAAAACTCTTGCAAATTTCCTGTTAAAAAATTACTCAACAGCATATAGTTGAGTTTAACTAAATGATAATAAGTCGGCAATATGATCAATATGTTTCCTGTAAAAATAAAATATAAATAATAATATTGATGAAAATAAGTAATACACAAAGAAATTTCAACTGCATCGTTTCACTTTTATTTATAAAATAATTTAAAATAATAAAACACTTTTCTTCTTGTCGCTAATCGTATCAAAAAATTGAACAGTTCAAACGGAAACACACACATTTTTAAAACAGATGTATGCTGCATATAGTAGATTACTGTTAAATTACAATCATTAAAACTATTTAACAGACACGAGACAGACAATGCGAACTATGTATGTTGTATGGCAATGGAATTCTCCTCAAGGGCTTTTAGTTGATTTAAAATTTGCGGCTTCTTTTTAACCTTTTCCCGTTGATCTTTGTCTAGTTTGCTGGAATCGCCTGATTGAATTTTACTCTCTATTTGCTCAATTTCTCTGATTTTCTTTTTCAATTTTTTTATTTGTTTCGCTAAATCCACCTCAGGGTCTTCGGCAATTGTAAGGTTCTTATCCAAAGTTTTCGTTAATTTAGATAATTCCGAATCCTTGGGAGATTCATTATTAATATTATTCGTAGCGTTGGGCGTTTTTGCATTTGTTGTTTGTTTGGCAGCAACTTTAGTTATTTGTTGCTTCTCCACTTTTTTCTCATTAGCCTTCTCCTTCTTCTCGCGCACCTTTTTCATCTCCGCGGCCAAAATTGGGCACATGCCTGGCGGGACGCCCGTTTGCCTTTGGGCAATAAATTGTTTGCCCTTGCTTTCGTACAGCGGCACTTCTTCCTGTGGTACGTATCCGTCTTTTACTCGTCGTGCCTTGCGCCAAGTGCCATCTGGCCGCTTGGTTGCGGGAATCACTTTCCCTTTATTGCTTTCCAAATTGGTATTCATTTTTATTAAACAATACAGCTCTTAAATGTCGTTTTGGTTAAAAACAATATCCTAATAGCAATGCCGAAAATATCGATACGCACATAGAGATGGACCAATAGTACATGTTCTCAAAGTGAACCACTCGTGCTTTTAACAAATCTTATTGGTGGAGCTTTAAAAGAATTGAGTTGATTTTTTAAGTCATGGTGCCATTTAGTTGGTTGCCAGAGGTCTTATATCTTTTCCACTATTGCCAATAGGATAGAAACATGACTAATATTTAATTAATTAATGACTAATAATTCCTCAATAAAAGCTGATTAAATTTAATAAAAAATTGCATGGAGTTATTTAAACTCTAATTGGAATAAAGCCTATCGATAGTTTAAGAATTGGATTAATCTTGGTGAGATTGCATCCGGAAGAGTATGAAAAACAATCAACATAATTTCAATGTCAATATATTTTGTATAACTTTCTACCTTAATAAATAAAATATTTTAAAATAAATCTTACCAGGTGAAAAGCGGCGTTTAGCATATATGAGATATATTAAGTCCACTATTATATCGAAATCTACAAATTGCGGCTTTGCGTTCTTCGCAACGTATCCATGGAGACAGAAATTGTTAAGAATATCAAGGCACTCGTTATGTCCATTAGCAGCAGCAATAGTTATAGCGTTTTCATGACATTCGTTCACGATATTTGGATTGGCACCCATGAACAGCAGCAATCGCAGATGATGCACCTTTCCCAGTTGGGCAGATATATAGAGAGCTGTCTTCCCAGTAACTGAATGCTGATAGTCCACTGGCACCAGTTCATAGTTGATTGCGTAGAGCAATGGACGGATGGCCACATCCGTGCCAATTTCCTCGTATGCCTGCAGACATTTATCCAACTGAATATTCCTCTGATTTTTATTTCTAAACATTTGTCGTTGATTTTTGTAAACCTCCGGACCTTTTTCAATAGTTTCCGTGGCAATGCTCTGCTGGATGTCTTCCAAATATGAAATGTTGAGCTTAAACATATTTGAGGTCTTTATAAGAAAATTTGAGCCTTCACCAAAATAATTCACAAATTGCTTTGAGTCGCCTGCCTGCGATAGCAATATGATTCTCAGATTCTGTTCCATAGATAATGCTTGCTTTAGTTCATATAGCAAAATGTCAGTATATGGAGCGTGCAGATGTACATCGTTTACAACAAAATGTGAAATTTTATTGAGTTTATTGTTGGAGTTCTTGTTAAACAAAGTTCGTAGATAGTATTGGGCAGTCGTGTAGACAACTTGCGTTCCAGAGCTAATATTATTGTTCAGTGGAAGCTGGATTCCCACAGTTTCTCCAATATTTTCGCCCAAGCATTCGGCGAAACGCTCACAATTATATATCGCTACAATTTCCTCTTCTTCAATACAAATTATACGAGCATTTTTATTCTGCGAGTTGAAATCCTTTAAAATGATTAGCGGAAATAATGTGGATTTATCCAAAGAAAGATTGCCATCGAACACGGTCACGCGATGAGCATTAATTGAATCGAGGATTTCGTTGGCGCGCGAGTTATTTAAAGCATTTGTAAAGCGCTTGCTGGATCTGATCTTTGCATCTAATTGAATCAGACCTGGAAGCGACATATAATGCGATGGTGCTTGAATAGTCCAGCGATTGGCCACACAATCATCATCCTTTCCCCCGACGCTTAGGCGTGCAAATAATGTAAACATACTCATTACACTGGATGGCGCCAAAGTCAACGATTTTGGCTCTTCCAAATAATGATTGCATGTTTGCCTATAAACCTTCACACATTCCTGTCCATGACTTAGAACCAACTGTGATCGCAGACCCAGCGCACGCGCTGCATTTATAAGTACAGAGTGCTCAGACGTTCGGAACGTGCAAGAAAATTGTTGACAGCACCGACGACCAGCAATAAAATATAATAATTGCTGTGGAATATATTTGCTTTGTATCGTTTGATCCATTCCTGCTTATATTCGACTGTTTGTTCGAAAGTTCACTGCACGCCGCAAATAAGTAATTTGCTTCTACATGTCCACTGACACCGAACCGTTTCTTCGGAATTTTCACAGCACACTGAAAATCACTTGCATGTCCGTTATAGTTAAATCTCTGTATTCTATTCGGAACAACGGAATGAAACAGAAAAGTATAAGCACAACTTTTTCGATAACTTTTAGCCGGCTATAATGGATATTTTCAATTATTTTTATTGGATGACAGAACTAATTATTCTCAAACAAATAATTTGTTTAAATAATATTTGTATATGCGTTTAGAATTTAAATAAAATTTTCGCATAAACATACGTGCATCATTTTATAGTTAGCAAGTTTATGCATGTGAAACTAAGTAATAATTTTAAGCCTTTTAAAGCAAGGTCTGCACCTCCACTGAAGTGAGGAGGAATGACCAGCAAACCGCATCAGCTTTAGTTCACTTTTCTGACCCCTAAGACAAATTATCACCTGCCAATGAAACTCGACAATTTATCGGTATACGATCAAGATTTTTGTGCGTAGCTTTTTGTTTACTTTGTATTCCATTTCTCCATGCTTAAACATTAAAATATGTTATCGTGAAAATATCACATTTCCCCGTAGATAACGAGTTTTCCATACCCCCGATAAAGATATAAACATTAACACAAATATTAAAATTTAATTGTTGAATTAAAACTGATTTAATTCGATATTAATCGTACCATATTGGTAAAGAGCTTTACAGTTAGTTATTTATTTAGAGAAAATTTGATTTGTCCACAGAGTTTTGAGAGCCACTGCTTTGATTTGACCAGGAGTTACCATTCTGAAAAATAAATATTTTGTTGATTAAGTATTGCTTGACATTGATCCACCAGGTATGCGCTTACCTGCTGATCATTAGAAGCTGAATTATCACCTTTGATCATACTGCCAGAGCCGGAATTGTTTGGATTATTTGGTCCTTTGCGGCTTCCAGAGTTCATGTTAGAGTTAGAATGCCCTCCGTTGTTTTGAGCCATCCACGATAAAAAGTTGCCTCCCTGAGAAGTAACTGAAAGAGTTTTTTGTTTGAAACAATCATATTGTATAGAAGGCTTGCCTGCTGATCCTGGTTTTGATTTTGCAGCTGATTGCCAAGAAGGCTCCACTGATTCAACGCAGCAGCAACCAAAGCAGGGTTCATCGGCAATGAGTTTAAATTAAGTCCGACGCCTAAAGGGTTGTTCATGTTTTGCCCTTGATTTGAAGAGCTGGATCCTTGCGAATTTATGCCTAACGCTTGTAGGTTAGGCATGTCCAAATGTCCCCTGTTCATCCAACCGCTATTGCCTACGTTGCCATTGTGTGGCTGGTTCATGCCATGAAAATTATTCTGCCTATTATAGGGAATACCTGCATCTTGGCGGTTCATATTGCCACCACTATTATGATTACTACTATTCGTGTAACCCCCGCCCAAATTTCCACCATAATTATTATTGCTACCCATTCCGTAGCCACCACTGCCCATGTTGCTGTGACTATTGCCGATTGCAGTGTTATCACCTCCGTGTAGATTGTGTTGATTATTACCTCTATGATGTCCGCTACGGCCAGAGTTCATGTGATTCCCTTGTGGATGGTACGAATGCATCCCAAAGTTATTTCCAGAGTTATAGTTGTAATTTTGGCCTTGATGGGTCCGGTTTTGCTCGGCCTTGGGGGCAGCATTGGAAACGTGAACCGATACCCCTAAAAGATAATTAAACGATTATTACACAAAGCTTAACATATGAATAAAGTATTGATTACCTTTAATTATATGATCTTCACCACAGAGAGATTGTGCTACATCGGGATCAAGAAACGTGACAAAACTAAACGCCCGAAATGGTCGGGGAATGAAAACGTCGGTGACTTCGCCAAACTTTGAAAAGTATTCGCGGAGATCATCTGAGTTGATATCCTCTGTGCAACGACCAACAAATACTTTACACGGCACTTGATGACCCATGCCCTGGAAATTAAATAAGATGATATATCAATAAGGTTTTCTGTTTAAATTGAAATGAGTTGGCATTACCTTGGAATTTGGAACTTTGACTTCACACCATCGTCCATCGATCAGATGCCTATTTGCTAGAACCCGCATTTGTGCTTCATATGAACCGAAACGTACAAATCCGAATCCCTTTGACTGTCCCGACTTGACATCTTTTTTTATTTGCGCCATCAGCACTTCGCCATAGCTCTCAAAGTACTCCCGTAAGCTGTCTTCGGTAGTTTTCCAAGCCAGTCCCAAAACAATCAAATCAGTGCACCGCAAACGGGTTTCAATTCGTTTTGTTTTTGCCGTTGAATTTTCCAAGTTATCATCGCTCTTACGTTTGTTCTCTATGGGAGGCAATATGGGGCGATAAGGACTGTCGAGCTGTTCGGCAGAGCTTCTGTTAATTTCAATACCTTTTGGAAACACACAAAAGTAGACGTATTCCCCCCAACCCGAGTCAACATTTGGTGGAAAAAGTCTGCCCTCATTTGAACGAACGCCGCGCACAGCCTTCGAGTCCATATTCCTGTATTTGAGGCCGCACGAACCAGGAAATTGCGCCTGTAGCGTGGATATTAACAATGTTCCATCCTCTTCAGCAGGCAGTTCGATAGGTTCATCACCCTCCTCCTCGCATACTTGTACGAAATCCATTTTGCGTTTTTCTCAAAAGTCTAAAAGGTTGACAAGATTTTGCATATAATTTATATGATTCTTTCATATATATATATTATTTAATTGTTATCTACGGCATCATTCAATCAACTCTGATATATACTTCATATACATGTAATCCCATTCTTAACAAACTTTCCTTGAACAAAATAATAAATTCACTCACTCAGACAAATATATTGTTCACACATTGTTCTTGCATTTGCCTATTCAGTGTGTCTATTATATATATATAAAAAGTTAAATGTACTATAAAAATAGTGAACTCAATTTTCTTGACTTCTTTAAAATGTTATTAAATTTTTTTTTGGATTTAAATAATTTTCATATCTTCTAAACTCATATATGTAAAACTTTCTATTTGTGTGCCTAAATATATCATTTTTTGCATAAAAAAAGAAATTTATATGTATGAAAAGAAAAATTGTGATATTTTCTTTAAATTCTATTCTACTCCATTTATTTCCCAAGTTTCTCTGTTATTCTATGTGTCAAAATTGATTATCGCATTAGTTTTTAATTTCGTAAAAATGACAAAACTGTTTTCCCATCTCTTAAAAAAAAATAGGAAAAATGTATTCAAATGAACGATTGGGAATTTCGAAAAATGTGTCCTTTTATATACAAAAAATATTACTTTGGAAAATATATTTGTTTACGGTTTAAAAAGTTTCTTCTGTAACTTGTCTTGGAAATTGTGTGGACATTTCGATTTAATATAAAATCTCAATCTCAACATTCAATAAAAAGCAAAATACATATTTACTCACGTACATACACTAATATTTATACACATACTCGTACAGACACACGTATCCACAAATACATATAAATATACAAATGCACATTCATAAACACATACTCGTATTTCATATCTTCCAAACAAACAGCTCACAGACCTTTCCTTTACGCACACTGATCAAAAACATTCAAAATCCCATTAGTTCACATCTGGACAAGTTTTTAACTAAACTGGATAAATTTCATAAATTAAGTCTGGTATCACGAGATCATAAAAAATTGACTTTTAATACATTTAAACTATGTTCATTTGTATATTATTAGAAAAAGTATGCAATAAATTATATTGACTCTCTTTTAGACAAGTAATAAAAGGCTCTTTTTTTTTATTTTTTTAAATAAAATTAATATGAAAATTTTAAGTCCTATTGTAAATTATTATTAATAGTGGACATAAAATTGCAGCAATTTAAAATACAAAATCTGATTTTATAAAATTATAATATTCACAATTTTACAAAATTATTACAAGTTATGTTCAATATATTTTCCCTATTCAAGGCTTAGCCCCAAACTGCACTAAGAATATGTTCTAAACTGATCTAAGTTATTAGATCACATTTTCGAAGATTTTCAGGATATATGAAATATATTTAATATTTAAAAGCATTTATGTTGATAATATTATTATATTAAGTATCATAACCTAAAAATAATAAGAAAAAAACATTCCAGGTAATAAAAAGAAACCTTTCTACGATTTCTGTACTAACTTATATATGTATATTACTTTTAATACCCTTGCAGTATGTCATGTAAATGAGGACACCACATGTATGTATGTATGTATTTATATACACATGTACTTATGTATGTATGTATGCGAGTGTGATCAATCATAAGGCAAGTCGCTAGACGGGGATTTTAAGCACTTGCCATAAATGGCTGCATCTTTTCACCCACTGCGGAATATATTTATTTAGCTTCCATCAAATTGTGTCAATTAAAATGTACATCTGCTATATGATTGCAAGGATATTTAATAATCGGCTTGCCGATGCATTTTTTTCTGTAGCCTTGATTTAATTTGAAACTAAAAGTTTTATATATTTTCATAATCAATATTTAAAAGCAATTTTTTTTTTTTTTTGCATACATATGTATTTACGAATGTGTAAAGATATATGATATCGACTTTACACGTTTTTTCATATCTACATACATATGCGCACAGTTAATGCTAACGAATGAGTACATGTTACAACCACATGTACAATTTCTGCTTACACATACACATGTATGTATGTATGCGTGTAGTCACAAATGTTGGTTTGCGATAAGGCCCTCCTAAATGGGGTTATACAACAATTCTTACACTATTAATAAGGGGTTAGTAGTAACACTACAGGATGTAATGCCTTCAATATATGTATGTATGTTTTCAGTACAGCTCACACACGTAATATTTTATGTTGTATATTTCCTTTTAACGCTCGCTCTCTCACAAGATTCACACACAGTCAGAACCAGATCGAAGTCACTTTTCTTTTCACGCTCGAATCTCGACACAACACACGCTAGGTCAATATGCACATCCACTTTTTAATAAGTGCGTAATAAATATAAAGAATATTTACAATTTTGTTTTTAATAAATTTGATTTCGTAAAGTACACCATTTCTCCTTGCAAAAAATTCAAGATAAAATTTTGTGTATGTATACTAGTGATGCACAATAAAACATCGACGCTTCGATATATCGATGAACGTCCCAGTGACGCCTGCCGGTATTCAATCGATGATTCTAAATGAGAATCGATTAATGATTTACTTGCTTACTGTTATGTGAAGTAAACAAAATATTTACAATGACCAACATTTGGCTATGGTCATATAAAAACCCTTTGTCTATAATTGTATTGGTGATATTTTGTAAGATAAGCGAAAGGTTTAAAATCGAGTTGGATTTCCGTTTAGGCGCCAACAAATTTGTAGATATAGGGCATACAAGTAGAGTATAAATCAGACGTGAATTGAAAGCTATCTATATCGCGCTATATGCGTTAGAGGATTTAGGATGTAGGCAACTGCATTTGTACGTGTCCCACAGGTTTATTAGTTCGACTCCGTTTTAACACAAAGTATTTGAGTATAACCAAATGAAATGTTTTAGTAACATACAGATATTTTACCCAGAATAAGTTTGTAAGTCCGTTAACTAATTGTATATTAATATATATATTTGACAGATACGTACTAAAATAATTACCCTAAGTCGCACAATCACAATGTATTTCGCATTTCGCAAACAAACACAATTTAAAATTATGGTTACAGGGTATAAAAAGGCATTTTTGATCTCCACTACAAAAATATTATTGTATTTCAGTAATATATGTATATATATATATTATAGGTGTAAAATCACAGTGAGATGTTACTGCACGCTGACGAATTAAATATATAGTTCTGGGCCTCCAAAATGTGCATTTCAGTTAAGCAAATGGCAACTAGTAATATTATATATCCACTGTAACGTATCGCTCTTAGAAAATCCCATAGTTTGTCACAAAATATACTAAGCAAAACACAGTGAAGCAGGGCGTGCACGTTGACGATGCGCCACATCCAAGCAACGCAAAAGAATAATGTCGACTTAAATATATAGTTCTGGCATTGGTACTGACTGCTGTTCACATCCTCGCGCTCCAACATATTTTGATAGACAGCTATATAACGATTCCAGGCCGTGGAACTTAACAAGAGTTGACCAGTAAAGCTAATAACATTTTTCGCAACTTTGCGAGTCGTTGCCTTCATCTTAGGAATAATCGTTGGTTCTGGATTTTTGGAATCGCTCATTGGAATTATGGAGTAGCCTCGCCGAGGTGGGTTATTCTTCAGGAAAAAGAATATACCTAAGAGCAGCGCAATGCATCCGAGACCATCACAAAGTCCGTCCACATAATAGCCCGATGTACCGATCTCAGAGCGTTCACCGCGTATGTGTTTCTTAACACGCGCCACATGGCCATCCAAATCATCCAAAAACGTCCGAATTTGAAAGAGTAGTACACCTAGCCGTCTATATCCCAGGCTATCAGATGCCACCAGTTTTCCTGACACGCATGCAACGATTACATGAAAGAATGATATCATATTTGGTGTGATGAACGTCGATTGCGAGATTCCGACCACATTGTCGAAGATTGTCGCCAGCGGTGCGAAAAGATAATGATTGGTGTGATCTAACAGTATCGCTTTTACTGTTACATGACACAGTGGATTTAAATTGCATGATATCCAGGTATTGTGATCATAGGACGGTTCCTTCTCAACAACGGTGGGTATTTTTAGGGCACTGCTTGAATCCGATGCCAAATTGGATGGTTCCAGCGACGATAATGGCGTCGATGTGTCATTGACGTGATAATTCCGATCGATTGCATAGTTATGTATTCGCAGATATAGCTCAATGTCCATAAAAACATAGAATATTATTAACAAAAACAATAGTGTTAATAATATCTTGCTTATTTGTGAACTGGGACCGATCATTTTTCTCTCTGTTGTGAGGTAGATATCATCTATAAATTCTTGGAATCTTTAGTGAATAGCTAAAATGAGAAAGCAAGTAAAATACTTTTATGAATCATTGGTATTAAAAAAAAATAAATAACGATATACCATTTATAATATAATATATATATATATTTAATGAGTTTTAGTTACATATTTTAAATGTTACTCATCTTTAGTTTTATACCAAAATTCAGTAATCAACAATATTTCAAAAAGTTCAACCACTATCTTGCGGTGATAAGCGACGCCTACTGACAGTATTGCAACCTATATTTCACTATAAGCGAATTTTAGTAAAAAGATTGATACTTATAAAGAATTTATTATGTTTCAAACAATGACCTTCCTTTACCATGCCAGAAGTTTTTCATAAATATTTGAAAAGATTTACTGATTGCAGTTATGAATTGATGTATCGATTTCCTCTTAAGCTATGAACTTTTTGGCGGTCTACTCATATCATACACATACATACATATGTATATTGTAATTGCGGTTTAGGCCAGAGCTGTCGTCAGCATGAGCTTGCGGAATAAGAAATTTAGTATTTTATTTGGTATTTGAAGTGTTTTTGTACATATGTATGTACATATAAAAATTCCCAGTAAGTCAGACAAACTGTTTATCAAATATAGTTTAGACTTATCAACTTGGCATTAATAGAAAGACCAAAAATTGAGATCTACATGGTTTTGGTCTACATTTTGACAACTCTTTAAATTGTATTTGTTTTGCAAATTGAAATATTAGAAAACAAACAGCAGTTTAATATAAATATTTTACTGGAAATATTACTAGGCATCTATATATTTACACTTTGTTTATAATAACACAAAAAGCTGCATACATTGATACTCTGAGACACAATTCAAATCACAAAATTACACGCGAAAACGTAAAGCCCAGTATGAACTGATTTCTTTCGTGTTTTCCTCTATTATTTGACCTTTTGCTCCTATTGGTTAGTGATGCGATTTAGCTACGGGTTTGCTCCCAATTTAAGCCAATTAGTCATGAATATATATTCTATAGATATAGAATGTACACATACATATACATATGTATAGTTTTATATGTAGTAACTAATTCCAACCACAAACTCTGGACGTTTCTTATCAATGATTGTTGTGATGATAGCCACAATCATATATACACACATAAGCAGATACGTAGATGTATATTTATTGGCTAACCAATACATATACAATGTTTGCATGTATTTACAAACACATATACACATGCTCCAACTACATACATATGTATGTACATATAATATCAACGAGTAACTCAATTATCAAACATACATATGTATGTACATATAAAAAAAAAAAAACAATAACTTAAAACTACTTACTACCGAAGTGGCGCATTTCTATATTATTTACATATACACCTTTCTTAGCGATTCATTGAACTATTTTCGTTTATATGACACTTAATCAAACATTTGTATATACAAACAGATCATACATATTATTGTGTGCAACTGGTTAGAGAGAGCTCATGCTGTCATTTTTTCTTTCTGTTCTTTTTATCAGCAGCAAAACAGCGATACTTGCTCAATTGTAAATCGGTTAGCAACTTTTATATTAACTGTTACCAACTTAATTTTCTCTATATTTCACATGGATTGGTATGCAAAAAGTCTTAATTTTTTAATTATACTATGATTTAATCGAGTGTTGTGACGAAGTTCTACATCGATACATATATGACGAGTATTTTATGAGTATATTTGTTGTCAGTGTATCAAATTAATTTAAACAACTATCGCAAAAACGATAAATATATACATTTCCATTATTAACATAGGGAAAGTTTAAAATATAGGGACTAATTTGGATATGCAGTTTTATTAATTATAAAAACTAAAATATGAAAAGTTAATTGTGGACCTAATTTTCTTTTCTATTTCGAACTATCGAAAGCACTATATTCACATGTGATATTTATCGAACTGTCTATCGATAAAACAAACTTCGTGTTTACAAATAAAGATTCGTATCAATATTTCGCAAGTGATTTAGGCAACCAATAATTTCAAATGAATTTCCGAGCATTGGGTAGTGTGGCATTAAAAGCTGCTGCTGTGAGAAGTTTATTTAAGCCATCGTTAAATCAGCGTGGGATATCAACAATAGGAACACGATTTAGCAAAGCATATGATTATGATGGCAAAACAAAAGTTTCCATTTTCAACACCGAAACGGACATGGGGCTTATGATTACAGGATATAGCCAATATGGATTCCGGCTCAACAACAATATGGTACTAATAGGCCCTATTACTGTATTTCCTAGGTGTGTTCAATGAAGAGATTTATTCAGTCGTTATGTAACTGAAATATCCATTTAAGCATGTTTAACATTTTAGATCCGTACTGTCGTGGAACGTGAACTCATTTGAAGATATAACTGAAGAAAGTCTTTCACTTTTTCCCACATTGGAACCGAAAATCGATGTACTTATAATAGGCATCGGCGACCAGAGTCCAACAGCCAGTCTGACAAAGCGAATAATTAAATTTATGAAAAAGTACAATATAAATGTAGAAATTCTTCGCACAGAACAGGTATGACTGCTGCACTTCTTTAAGTATGTCTGATTGCTAAAATCGTTCTTCTCGTTTTTTATAGGCGTGTGCTACGTTTAATTTTCTGAATGCTGAAGGCAGAATGGCAGCGTGTGCTCTTATACCTCCGCTACACATCACTTACAATGAAAACGACGTTCTCCAAAGTAAACTAAAGCAACAACAGCTTTATGAGACAGAATAAAGAGCTATAATCGTAATTACTCTATAACTTGATTACTCTTTGTATAGTTAGAATCCAATCAGAGTCTATGAGATCGTCAGAGAGGGAATGTAGGGCAGGCGTATGAGAGCCAAGTAGAATTATAATGTATATGTATATGTACATGTTTCATACATAATATGTATATTGGTTATAGATTATGCATACTCTCTCACAAACTGCAGCACACACACACATGAACATCGCGAATCGTGAAGAGAGTATTTCCTCTAAGAAACTCTTCTAAGTTTTTTCTCTAAGTATTTCCTTTAAAAATTTTTTTCTATGTCTTTAGCTTAGTTAAACAATCACACTTCACTTCACTTCACTTCACTTCACTTCACTTCACTGCACTACACGATTGACCCCCACCAGGCCTGGGCGACTGAAGAAATGCTGCAGCTGCTGCCCTTTATATAGGTCGACTTTCACACAACTACTACGACACGCTCAAATGTTGAGCCCGACGCCAGGTAGGGGTCGTCTCAGTTGAGCTTAAAATGACCAATGAGAACACTCTCTCTGCTACTGTGAGTATTCCAGCATCGTTTTACTCAAATATAAATACCAAATGAAGCCTGCCGCATATATGTAGACAACTTGAAAGATCTTCTGTAGTTCTTCTTCGTGCCTTGTTTTAGTAGGCAGACAGAAAGAGAGACGGACGGAGAGACAGACTGCGAGATAGACAAGGAGTTAGACAGAGAGAAAGATTTACAGATAAATACACGAACAAATGTATAGGTGATATACATACATATACTCGTATGCATAGACATCCACACTAAGGAAAATAATGCTTATTCGTAATTTTACAGGGTGTATCGACAAATCCAATTAGTTATATTTACAATTTATAAAAATTCTAATTTGATTTAAATAGAAAATTCAAAATATTCAATTTTTTACAGCCAATAAGTGTGTTTATTAAAAGTTATTTATTTAGGTGTTTGAGAAAAGAAACCTAGCTATTTGATATTTTCAGTCAGCCGTTGCTCCAGGATAACGCTCGAGAAGCATGGCCACGCCTTGCCCACCGGCGGCACACGCGGCAACCACACCCAGCTTGCCATCCTCACGGACCAGGCGATTGGCCGTGTGCATGCATAGACGAACGCCTGTGGCAGCAAATGGATGACCGATCGACAGGGATCCACCCCAGTTGTTCCACTTGGACAAATCGGGAGTTCCGACCTTTTCGCTGAGACCCAGATATGTTTTACAGAACCAATCAGAATCCAAAGCTTTCAAATTGGCAACAATCTGACCAGCAAAAGCTTCATGAATTTCCCAACTATCAATATCTTTAAGTGTGAGTCCAGCTTTCTTGAGAAGTTTTGGTATGCCATAGGCAGGACCCAATAAGAGTTGATTAACAGGATCTTGAGAGACATAGAGGAAATCACGTAGATATGCCTTTGGCTTTAAGCCCAATTGCTTTGCCTTCTCCTCTGTCATTATGAGACAAGCTGAAGCGCCATCGGACTGAAAATGAACAAAATTAACTTTGGAAATTTAAAGCCAGACAAAAAAAAGAAAACTTGCCAAAAAGGAAGCGTTGGCCGCAGTAATTGTGCCATAGGGTTTCACAAAAGCTGGCTTAAGTTTGGCCAAACTTTCAGGTGTTGACACACGAATGCCGTTGTCCTTGTCGACGACTTGATCAACGCCTCGCACTAAAATCGTAAATAACTGATTAGCTAGATTGACTAACATTTTATAGCACATATACTTACCCTTGAAGGGCACCAAATCCGTAAAGTATCCACTTTCCTGAGCCTTCTTAGCCATAACATGGGACCTCAAAGCGTAGTCATCCTGCTCTTTACGAGTGACATTAAATGCGGAGGCCAGACGATCAGCGGAGTGTCCCATAGTCTCGCCAGACGAAAATTCGGCAACAGCTGGCAACTGTGATGCATTTAAGAAAGAACCGATTTAAGATTAAAAAAAAAAAAGTATTTCATTTGATTTTTTCATACTTCAGGCGCCAAGAAACCTGGTCTGAATGTCGACAGCAAAGCCAGGCGCTGTCCTAGCGTCTTAGCCTTGTTCGCTTTCAGCATCAATGAACGCATTTTACGCGAATGACGAATTGGTACATCAGACATAAACTCAACGCCGCCAGCAACGATCACGTCATATGTATTCGTAGCAATAAGACCCATGCCAGTTGTAATTGCCTGAAATGAAACTTGTATTTAATAAAAAGTATATTCGGTTAGTTGACTATTACAAGTGCATACCGCATTTGAGCTTATGCAAGCCATTGTAACTGTATGCGCAGGTGTCTTATCGCTGAAGCCAGCTGAAAGCGCCGCCTCGCGGCCAATATTGGAAGTTTTCACCTCCTGTATAACGGTGCCATAGACAATATAATCAACAAGTTCCTTGTCCAGTCGAGTCTTTTGCAACAGTGAGCTGGGTGAAGGAATATATTCATGAATACATATATATATTTACTATTTTCTATAATATCATCAACTTACAGCAAGGAATGCCTGGCCAGTTCATGTGGCATTAAATTCGAGTATGATGTACCAGAAGTCAGAAAAGGCGTACGTACGCCATCGACAAGCACTATATTTTGAGTGTTAGCATTTCGTTTAGGCTGAGCCGCAGCCTGGACGGACAAGTGCCGGCATCCATCTACGCATATAAAGAGATATCATGTATGAAATATATATGTATATGTATTTGTAAATCGATCTAAATCTAATCACCACAAATTAGATTACACAAATTCACAATAAATAATATGCACAAATTATTTCAACTCAACATGATTGCAGCTTCTTATCTAATTGGCAAATACATCGTCATATTGATATACATATGAACATCTGTATTTAAATAAAAAATATTTTTGGACTTTGATCACTCAGATTCACTGTCATCAATTGCTTCGTCTGCGAAGCCTGTAAGCCTATATGCTTGAAACAGAGGAACTTACGTGATCGCAGAAAGTTTGTTAAAGTTATAAAGTTTTTTCGGTTTTGAATAATTCGCACATTCATTTTTATTCTTATTTCTTTTCGCTTAACAACTCTTTAACAAATTATGATCGATGTTTTAGCTGAAGTGCATTGGTGCTCAAAGATGGCAACAGGCTGACCAAACGATTAATGTATGTTTATTTCAACTATCGATTAGAGTATATCGATATTGCAGTAACGTAGAAAAGTGCTGGTGGACTTAGCTATTTAAAAGCTAAATCATGAATAATGAGTGAATGAATGAATGAATTATTTTTTCAAAATATGAATATACTTATTTGATATTTATGCAAAGTTCTCTAATGAAGATTGAATATTTATATACATTTCCACTATCTCTTTAATAAGAGTTAGCGACTATAATTGTTATTTATGTAACAGAAAACAGTATAAACAAGAGTAAGAAAATGAGAATAGATTATAATTTAAAAATTAAATATTATAAAATGCAGCCTATTTTCGCTATCTATTTTAAAAGGCAACATGATAGGGGTATTATATATGTACATACATATTTATGTATGTAAATACATACATACATATAAGGAATTTCCAGTGTAAACTTTCTACTACTTGGTTTACATGTATAGGTTCAGCATCCTTATTATTCTCACAGTTCTTTTTGTATTCTATCTGCTTCTTCGGCTTATTCAAATTAGCCTAAGTAATAAATTACAAATAGAAAGCGGGTGCAATTAATGGTGCCGTGTGTCCAGTTCAAGGTTAAATTTAATTGTGCTATTTTGAAAGAAAGGGTATATTGTGTAGGGGATGCCTATGTATGCGTAGGCGTAAAGGATTTAAGGATCAAGGTCATGCAAATGACAGCTAACGAGGCATCGGTCTTTTATGTATTAGGCAATATGTTAATGTCTATACATACATACATATAAGAAACTGCTCTAAAATGCTACAAAAAATGAATTGAAGAACAAATACATACATATGTATGTATGTATATAGTTGTACATATGTATATGTAAGTCATTCAGACATCAATATGTATAGTCTTCAGTATTTTAATGAGACATGAATTAAATTGTCAGCTAATTATAACAAATTAAATGAATGTTGCTATTCAAGTTAAAATTAAAATGTATTTATGCCATTTTTGTTTAAGTTATTTATAAATAGATAAGTACATACTTATTTCCTGGCTAAATGTTGAATACTTTCTTTTGTGTGTGGCAGCCTTTGCACCCTTTTCTTTCAAAAAGAGGCGAAGCAATAAAAACGTGTCCTTGAACCACGCAGCGTATGCAAATGGCAAATTGAGCATGAACGACGATCGCATCCCATTGTCGAATAGTAAACCATTAAGGAAGTATACAAACATCTATCATAGACATCCAATATACATATATATGTACATATGTATATATACTGACAAACATGACAATCGTTGAGCACTAAGAAACAAAACAAGAAAAATACAAAATTGTAAATAGAAATGCTTTCCATGCCTGACTCTGCTTCAGAATGGTATGTAAATACCTCAAAGTTATATATGTATGTATATGTATGCATATTAATAATAAATTATATTTCAAAGCTGTTACATATTCTATAAAAAGGTATAAAGTACAATTTAAAAATATACATCTACATATGTACATACATGCACAAACGTTTGTATTATGTACATATGAATATAAAAATGTTAGTAATGCCATTATCTAGTTTATTCATCTTAAAAGACAGCTGGACAGTTCTACAGTTAGAAATGCTAAATTGAAAGCTAATGCTGATTCAAATACTTACATGGATGCATACATATGTATGTATGTATGTAGTATATGCAAATCTGAGCTTATAGATACGTACATACATACACACGAATCAAATGTTATGAATTATTTACCTGAGTAAACTTTCTAAAAATTTCCTTGAAATAAGAGTATACTTTAAGGTACACATCATAAATATGTGTGTAAATGTTACACATGTATGTATATGTAAGTCATTCAAACATCAATATGTATATGCTTACATACATACATAT